GAGAGGGGTGGGATGTGGCTGCTCCCAGGCAGGCACCTTTGGCAGCTCCTGCCACAGTGGGGTGGGCAAACACCAGTGTTTCCCAATCCCGGCCTTTTCTGGCTCATTTCCCATTTGATCTCTTCATGTGTCATGCTCTGATGAAAAACAAACAAATGTCAGAGCAGTCAGCCCTGAGGCCACCTTGCCCGCAGCTGGTGCCAGAAACACCTCTCTGGAGCCAACTGCATTCCCCCAAGACCTGTCATGGCTGTGTGTGGTTGCCCAATATTTTTGGGAAACACATGTTGTGCTTTGGGGAAAGTGTGTGTGTGTGTGTGTGTGTGTCGTGTCCCCCCCCCCATTTTATTATTTTATCAGGACCTGGGGAGGATGAGCAGCCCTGGGGCTGGGTGGTGAGGTCTCAGGGCTCAGCTGCTGCTGCCTCCTGGCCAGAGGAGAAGGACCAGCCCCCTAAATGAAGTCAAGCACCTGAGTCTTTCCAATATGCTGCCTAAACACTTAAATATGTGGTTTGTGTCCGGCAGGACTTCAGTTCATGCTTTGCTAAGGCAGGGGTTGGTTTAGGCTTGTGCGTGGAGTCTTATGTTATTTGTGCTCAAGGGTTTTACTGGACTGGGAGAGGAATCTGGGCCCTGGCTCGGAGCTCATAAGGAGCTGAGCTTTGCCTAGTCCATCTGTCCATTCATCCTTAATTCCCTTCAAATAGAGCTGTTGTCTCCACAGCAGCCCTTCCAAAGGAGCCAGAGAGGGTTGCTGGATTGTGGGGTGGTGATGTGGGCACTGGCAGGATGCACCTCAAATCTTAGATTCAGTTTTGGGCCCCTTGTGACAAGAAGAGCATTCAGGAGCTGGAGCATGTCCAGAAAAGGGCAACAGAGCTGGGCAAGGGTCTGGAGCACAAGTCTCATGAGGAGCAGCTGAGGGAACTGGGGATGTTCAACCTGGAGAAAAGGAGGCCGAGGGGAGACCTTCTTGCTCTCTGCAGCTTCCTGAAAGGAGGTTGGACCGAGGGGGGTTAGTCTCTCCTCCCAAGGAACAAGTGATAAAGATAAGAGGAAAGGGGCTCATATTGTGCCAGGGCAGGTTTAGATTGGATTTTTAGAAACAATTCCTTTCCTCAAAGGGCTGTCAGGCTCTGGCATGTGCTGCCCAGGACAGTGGTGGAGTCACCATCCCTGGAGAGAATTAAAAGCCATGTAGATGTGGATCTGAGGGACATGGTTTAGTGGTGGCCTTGGCAGTGCTGGGTTCCTTGTTGGACTTGATGATCTCAAAGGTGTTTTCCAACTAAAACAATTCAATGGGATGCTGGGATGGGTCTAGGCTGCAGTTTGCATTGCTCCTGCATCCCATTTTGGTGGGCGATGCCCGTGGTCCGTGCTGGGCTCTGTGCCTGTGGGTGATGCTGACCCCAGCTCTCCTTGCAGGTGGACTGGCTGCAGCAGCAGGAGGTGAAGCGGCGGGTGAAGAGGCAGGCCCGAGGTGAGCCACACGCCCTGCCCTTCAACGACCCCGTGTGGCCCAACATGTGGTACCTGGTGGGTATCTCCCTTCTGCAGCCCCTCGAGGAACCTGCTGCTCTGGGCAGGGGGGTCGATTTATTTTTAACCCAACGCGTCATCAGTCCTTGCTCAGCCTGGCCAGTAATGAAACACCTGAATATCAACAAATGTGTTTGGCAGCAGGATTTAAAAATGGTAAATTAATACCCAGCAGAGTCTGGTTTGAAGTGTTTCACCATCATGAGCAGCTCCTCACTCCAGGCTGCACAGCAGAGGCTGGGGAGCAGTGTGGCTGCAGTGCCCGTGCCTTCTGCCCACCTGAGAGCTGCAGACATCTCTTTGCCATGTCATTGTTCTCCCTCCTGCTGCATCGATCTGGGCATGACAGGGAAATTCATTGAAAATTAAGCACAGAAAGGAAACGAGGGCTTCAAAACCCAAGGAGCCTACAGCGTTTGAAAGGGGAGAGGAAAAGAGTGATAGGGAGATAGTGCTGCCTGGATTAACTGCTGCTGGATGGCTTTGATCAATGGAGTGGAGTTCTAACAAATCTATGAGTTATATGGCAGGGGATGGGATGTAAATGTATTTTCTGGTTGATTAAATGGGCTCCCAGCCTGGCTGCTGGCTTAGCTGGGCTGAAATGGGGTTTCTCCCCTCCCTGTAGCACTGCAGCAATAAAAGCAGTCGCTGCAGGTCAGAGATGAACGTCCTGGCAGCCTGGCAGAGGGGCTACAGCGGCAGGAACGTGGTGGTCACCATCCTTGATGACGGCATAGAGAGAAACCACCCTGACCTCCTGCAAAACTATGTGAGCTGGGGGCTGGGTGGGCTGGGGGTGGATGGGCTGGGGCTGGTCTTCACGGTGCATCGGTTTATGGAGAATAAACCAGTGTATAAACACAGCTTAACTCTGTGTGTTGGCAGATTAGAAGAAAACATCTTATTTTTAAACAAACTAGATGTTTTTAAGAAGGAAATGAGTTTTTTAGACAAGAGGGTTTGGGGGGAAACTCCCTTTGCAGCTGCCTGGGAAGTGGCCACCTCCCTCCAGCTCTCCAGGGCAAAGCCAAAAACCTGCAGGAACCCGCTGAGCCCCTGCTCAAAACCTCAGTGGCAGTGGTGGGGAGGGGATGGGGACAGACCCAGCAGGATTTGGGGTTCAGAGCATCCGTCCCCACAGTAGTTGGATGTTTCCCTTGGGAATCATGCTGAACTGCAGCCCAAAACTATGTATCCTGAGCAAATAATAAATAAAATCCTGAGTCAGAAAACTAAGGGGGAAATGGCATTTTCTGCCTGGTTCAGCTCCATTGGCCACCAGGCTGGCTGCGGGGGGAGCAGGACCATGCTGTTGCTGAGGCCACTTTGTCCCTCATGGTGCTGGTGACTCAAACCTAACATCTGCCACATGTTTTCAGGACCCTCTCGCCAGCTACGACGTCAATGGGAACGACCACGACCCGACTCCGCGCTATGATGCCAGCAACGAGAATAAGTACGTGATGCCAACTGCCATGGAGCTGGGGTGCCTGGGGGTCCTGGGGACTGGACCCCCCTGGGGTGTCTTCCAGCTCTTCTCCCCCGTCCCCACTGCTGCAGAGGATGCTGCTGGATGGGCTTTGCACAGAGTCATTGCATTTGATGCAAATCCAGCCAGTGGCAACCAAGCTAATTGCTAGTGAACCCATGGAATAACAGCACTGAGGGGGTCCTGGCCATGGTGAGGGACTAAACTACATGAGTCAGGCTGGGTGGCTTAGGTGCCACGACTTGGACACTTTCTGGGCTTCAGTGAAAGTGGGCCAGGCATGTGATGGCACATGTGTGATGGCAAGGGAGTGAGAAGAGCAGGTTGCATCTATGTGCAAAAAGCCAAGAGCAAGTTGTGTTTAGGGGTAAGATGCAAAGAACAAATTGAGTTTAGGTGCAAGACAGAACTAATCAATTGCATCTAAGTTAAAGATGCAAAGAGCAGATTGCATTTAGCTGCAAGATGCAAAGAACTTTTTTGCATTGGTTTCCTCTACCCCCTCCTGCTCACGCTCTGGGTTTTGGATACGGTCTCTCTCTTCCACTGCTCCCGCCTCAAGGCTGGTTTCTGGGTGCTGGGTGGGGGTGGCTGGAGGGATCCTTCCCCACGGGACACCAGCTGACAGAGGGTTCTCTTTGCAGACACGGCACTCGCTGTGCGGGGGAGGTGGCGGCAGCCGCCAACAACTCCTACTGCATCGTGGGCATCGCCTACAACGCCCGCATCGGAGGTGAGTCTGGTGCCTGCCCCACCAGTCCCCAGCCCTTCACCAGCCCCAGGGAACTCACTGCCCTACCCACACTGATGGGCTCCCTGGGTGGGTGGTGGGGTGGTTCTCCCAAAGATACTGCCAGGAGTCTCCCCCTTGGTGCCCCTAGGGAGCCCCGGAGGGAGGATGGGTGATGAAAGGTACACCAGGGGAATCCAGCTCCATGTGTTTTGGGGTGGGAAGTTTCTGCTTGGGCTGTATCCGTACTGTGAGGATGTACGTGAGTGGACATGATCCCTAAAAGCCCTTGGCTGCTCTTGGGGGGGCCTGTACTTTTTGAGGTGTCCATATTTGCTGTGGTTGGTGGTGCTGGTTTAGCTTCTGAGCTGACATCCATTGTTTGTGAGGTTAATTGTCTGCAGGTGAGCTGCTTGGAGGTGGGGGTGGTCTCGGAGGACCCCCAAAATACCCGAGGAGGTGGGGGCCCGGGGCTGCACAGGGTGGGGGGACCTTTGCACGGTCCCTCAAATGACACAATGTGTGTGAAGCAAATGAATCATTATCATCAAATTGGATCCTGCTAGTAATTAGCATCATAGAGCTCATTTCCATTAGCTTAACTGGGGTTGGAGGCTGGTACAGCACTGCCAGGGAGATGAGGGTGTTGTGGGTGTAGAAGCATGTCACCCCATCCATGTGGCTCATGGGACTGTGTAAGGCAAAAATGCCTGGAGCTGTACCCCTCTGACCACCCCATGCTGGGACCACGGATCCAGTCACCCATGGGTGAATTCAGGGCTTGAATCCTATTGGCATCTTCATCCTGGCTGTGCAAGAAGCAGCTTTTGTTACGGTTGGGTCTGCATGGGAGTGGTGCCAAGGGCCATCAGCACTTTCCTGTGCCAGGAAAAGTCCCTGGGGGAATAGATAACCCTGGGGAGGGTGAATGGGGGAATGGCAGGGGCTGTAAAGGCTGTGCTTGTTCTCCTATTCCATCTTCTGTTCCCCTGAAACATGGGATGGCTTCTTGCCTCTAAACTCAGCTCCAAGGATACACCAAGCAGCAGCAGAGCAAGACAAAGCTCCCAGGGGGGTATAAGGCTGTTTTGCATCCTGTAGGATCAGGTCATTGCCTTCAAGCTCCATTTCAAGCCCATATCTCTGCAGCAGCCATGGGGACAAGTGTTACTTGCACTTGTAGACTTGATAGTGGCTCCCATTTGAATTTGCTTCCTTTAACAAGTGCCTTGTCATGTGCTGGGCAGGCACCAAGGCAGAGGGTCCAGGCTGTGGGCTTCCCACAGTGGGAATGGGAAAAGGGGAAAAGTCAAGTCTATAGTCTTATCAAGTTTTGGATTGTGGAGGAAAATGTGCTATAGCTGCAGTGAGAGTGATTTTTAGATGGATTACACAAATAAAGCAGCGATTAATGAGCACAACTTGTTGGGGAAAGCTATTTGTCACACTTGGAGAGCCACCATCTAATTTTACTGGCTGCTCTTCAGCACTCTTGCGTTGCTTTTCATTTGCTCCAGGAAAAAATATGTTGCTGCTCAAGAAACAAAATGGGCTCCTGCCATTCCTCCTCCTCCTTTCCCCTCTCCTCCAGTGCTCACTCCGAAGGCTGGTATTGCTCCCTGTGTGCCAAAGAGCTCATTTATTTTGGAGCATCCTTCCCTGCTCTCTCCTGCTCCCTGTTGTTTAACTGTGGAGGGTTCTTTGCATCATGGGTTGACTGTGGGTTGACTTTTGGCTGATTTTCTTTCTGGCTTTGAGCTGATTCTGGGCTGTTTTGGGCTGATTTTGGGCTGTTTTGGGCTGACTTTGAGCTCACTGGTGAACATTTAGCCAGCACAAAGCCCCATCCCTCAGCTGGTTTTGCTTGCCATGCTGCAGCCGAGTGTGGCTCCGACACCAGGCTCAGCTTTTTGCTCCTTCTCTTCGTGTTTTCTTGCTAACATGGCAAAGAAATTTTTGGGAACTGTTATGTTCCCTCATTTTATATTTCTAAGCTTGTTTTTGACAGTGTCAAAAAGATATATTTGAGTTGACTGGTGTCCAGAGCCCAGCTGCAGCTGCAATGACATCTGCCTGCATTTGTTTGCTTTAAGAGAAAATACGTTTGGAAAAGGAAATGCATTTTTATTAACTGGGCTCCTTCTGGTCAGGAAAATATGGTGCTGAAATTTTCAGCTACTTTCCCATGAGGGCTGTTTCTGGGCAGTTCCTTGGGGTGCCAGCAGCCTCTGACTGCTGTACAGAGGGGACAATCCAGCAGGGAAAGGGTAATAGGTGTTGGGGAGGTTGTAACCCTGGTATTGCAGCAGTTTGAGGCTGGGGATGTGCAGCTTTTGCGGTGAGAGCTGGTGGGCTCTGCCTGCAAACTGCTGCAGCGTTCCCAGCTGGAAGAGTGAGGTTGTTCCAGGCAATAGTGTCATCCCACCATGGTCTGGGGTCCTGATTTCCTGGCTCTGATTTTGGCTGTGGAAACCACAGACTAGGGCTTCTCCTGGGGGCTTCTGAGGCTTCTCCTAGGGCTTCTTCCTCGCCCAGGCACTGCTGGTATCAGTTGGGCAGTGACAGCTTTCAGGGATGGTCACAGTTGTCCCCATTTGGGGGAAGAGGCTTTGTCCCACCAGCATGCTTGGAGCTGGGAGGGGCTGTGAGCATTCGGGAAACACCAATGCCTTCCAGGTGGAGAAATGAGTTAGTTCATGAAAAGGGGGGGGAAATGCCTTTTAGTGAAGGGGATTTTGCCACCGGGGAGTGCAGCAGAGCTCCCACTGCCCAGTCCCCACCACTGAAAGGGAAGCAAATCTTATCCTCCCCCCCTCCATCACTTGCCATGAAGCCAGAAAGACAGAAAACTTCCCAAAATAGGTGCCTGGCTTTCAGCTGCCAGGCTGTTCAGCGCGCGGGGCTGCGGGTTGAAGCGATTCCAGGCTCGCCTGAGCAGGGCGGTTTGTGCCGCCGTTAACAAAGCCCTTTGATTGCAATCCTTGCACTTTCCTCCAAGCCATTGAGCCCTAATGTCTGATGTTTTTGTGCTTTTAGGCATTCGTATGTTAGATGGCGATGTAACAGATGTTGTTGAAGCGAAGTCGCTTGGCATCAGACCCGATTACATTGACATTTACAGCGCGAGCTGGGGGCCAGATGATGATGGGAAGACAGTTGATGGACCTGGTCTATTGGCCAAACAGGCTTTTGAGCATGGCATTAAAAAGGTGTGGATCCTGCAGCGCCCAGATGCGCTCGCCCTCCTCCTCCTGCCCCGTGGGGAACGTGGGCTGGGGGAAAATCTCGTGTGGGGATGGGCAGCTCGACCCCCCACGGTGATGCCAACGCTAGGGCTGGGGGGTGGGGGGGAGGTGAATAATCTGACTTTTCCTAGTTTTTGTTTCCCCTCCCCCCTTGGTTGTCCCTAAGAGCTCTGGTTGATTTGTTGGCCGTGGGAGGTGCCTGGTGATGGGAGCATCTGGCAGGGCAGACAGGTCCCAGGTTGAGTTGTGAAGCTCTGCCGGGATGAGAAATCTGAAGCGGTTCTTGGTGGGGGGGATCAACACTTGGCACCTCAAAATGTCCTCCCCAGTGCAGAGGGAAGCAGACACCCCCAACCATCTCCATCCCCATCCCCTTCATCCTCCCTAGGCCTCCTTTATCCTCTCCCGTGGGTCTCTGTCACATTAACCACTTCCCTGGTTTTCCACCTGTAGCAAGCGGTTGTGTCATGGCGATGGGGCAGGATCCTGCTGCAGGATCCAGCCACGGGGTGCAGGGGAAATTCAGATTATTGTTCCTAAAGTCCTCCAGCAAGAGGGGTTCAGTGGGTGTCACCTGGGATTGAGAGCTGTCAATCCCTGCTGGGGATGCCCTGGCCTTCCTGTGCTGCTTCATTTTTGGGGCGCTTTTAAGAAATGCCCCATATTGGCTAGAAACATCCGGGAAAATGACCTTTCTTGGCAGCTCGGTGGGTGCCGTGGGTAAGTGTGGCAGCAGCTCAGGGCTCTGCGGTTCATGTCCCCCAGGTGCTTCAGTGAATTTGGGGTTGGAATTCTGCCACTGGCAGCCCCAGGCTGGGCTGTGACCACCCCACCATTTGCACTCCCTGCCTCCCTCTGCCCCTGTCCCTCCTTGCAGTGCCAGGACTCAGGTGGCCGTGGGTTGGGGCGACGCAGCCGCTTATCTAAAAATAGGGTGGAGTGTTTTTCCCACTATTTATTTGGTTTCCTGCCGAGGAGGTGAGCCTGCCGGGGAGTCCATTGAAGTGCCAGGGAGTTCACACCGTGTCAATACAGAGGGAACAAGCTGCTTTTTAGACCTATTTGTTTCCATGCAGGAGCAAATGGGCAGCAGCCGGATTCTTGCCTGACATGAGATGCTCTTTTCCCTCTCCCAGGGGACATCAGACCCTGCCACCCCTGTCCCTGTCTCCCCACTGCCACTCATATTTGTGGCATCCACTATCCTGGGTGCACAGCTCTTAATTGCTGATTACTTCTTAAATTATGAGGAAAGTCACAAGCAGAGTTAGCCACCACCTTTAGCCCAAGCAAACAGCTGTAACTGAGTTATAAATCCTTAAAATTGAGTTTTTAATGGAAACATTAAAATAACGGTTATCTGTTAGCGATAGGACTGCACTGTGATGATTTATCATCTTGTTTCTCGCTCCTTTAGTCTCACCTTATTAGTTCCAGAGCTAATGAGGGGATATTTATCCTGGGCTCTCATTGACTGCCATTGGCCAAACTCCCAAGCCCTGGCAGCGCTGCAGGAGCGGGGAGATGCCGGGCATCCGCATCCAAGCCAGGGTGAGCTGGATCAGCTCCAGCCTTGGCCAGGGAGGAAATCTTTGGTGTAAATGATGCCCAGATGCAGGTTTTCTAGTGGCTAGAAGCCCCTTTCCAGGTTGGTATTGGCTTAGTAGGCTGGCTACTACACAGTTGGATGTTTGGGGGTCTGCTCATGGAAATCGTGGTAGTTGCTTGTTTGAGGGCAAAAGGAAACTGGGTTTTTCCAATATAAGGGAGCTGGAATACTCAGTGGGCTCTTGCTCCGCCAGGAGGTGCTGTCAAGTGTTAGGTGTGCATTGCTGGGGTGTCATTTATGTGCCTGTTTGTGTCCTCATGCAGCCATGCTGGCTCCCAGCCCACTCCTCCAGTATAGCCCAGTCCAGTACAGCACAGGTGGTGGATTGGGACCCAGATCCAGCGGCATCTGTGGCCGTGATGCTTGGGTCGCAGGATGCAAGGGAGGGCTGGGCTCTCCGTCTCCTGATCCCCATTGGAATCATGGCTACATCTCCTCACAGCTTCAGTGGTCGGTGCCTGATTCTGCTCCTCCTATTAGTAACTTGGGAAAGCCTGGGTTGTGTCTGGCAGGGCTCATCCTCAGAGATAGTGTTATTTTAGTGTTGGAGAGCCAGACGGTTGTTGCCAGCGCTGAGCACGTGGGCTGGGTTGCTGGTGCCTTGGAGATCCAGGAAAGCCTGGAAAGTGGGACTGGAGGTGCCAGCGGCAGCCGTGGTGGGCTGGCAAGCTAGGACGAGCTCTCTGTGATGCAGGGCAACAATTTCCTTTGCAATTGCACTTTTTCTTGCAGAGCTCCAAGACAGCTCTATTTAATCTTTGTTAGGGAAATACCCACCCGGTTTGGCTGGGAGGCAGCCCAGATAATGAAAACTTTCATAAAGTAGGGGAAGAGCCTGACTTAGCTCGTGTATCCAGAGGCAGGGTCAGCTCAGAGAGCCTCTGCCCCAGGAGGAGGGCGAGACAGGTAATAAACCATCCCTCTCCCTCCAGCACTTCAAACCCACAATAAATCCCAGTGAATTCCTCCGGAGCAAAACTGCACTTTTATTATTATTATTTTTTTTTGCGGAGGAAGCTGCTGCAGAGCAGTGGGAGGGATGTAAACACCAGATCTGCCCAGGCTAGAGCTGAAAATCTCTCTGTGGCAGCAGCAGCCAGGGGGAGGACGGGGCTGCTCCACGGCTGCTCTGTGCTTCCATCGCCTGCCAAGCCCGGCAGCAAGCCACCCTCCCTGGAGAGCCCTGCCTCACAGGGCAGGGAAGCAAACCAGCCATTTCATTTCCTGCAAAATTCTCCCCTCGAGTCACCAAAAAAAAAATATAAAAATTCCTCCATTGTGACCATGACACCCTGTTTGTGGATCCCCACAGCGGACTGGGTGATTACTGGGTGCCCTGGGAATAACCCTGGCAGTGATTTGGGTAGCTTCACACCCTCGGGTTCATTAAGGGCCCCCTCGTTGGCATCGTGGCTGCTGCTGCCGGGTGGGATTTTCCCCTGGCTCTGGGGAGGTCTGGGCACCTGGTACACTCCTCCCACCTCTCCAGTTCCGGGTGGGCTGTAGCCAGTGGGAATGGTCCTATCAGATGTTCCTGCCAAGCGATGGAGAAGGTGTGGGGAGAAAAGGCCAGGATTAAAAAATAAAAAACCAAAAGGAACCTAAAAGATCAGCTCAGGGGAGGTTTGTGGTGGTTTGAGTGGGTTCAGAAGGGGCTCTGGGGGCTCAGGTTGAGGGAGACAGGGGGTTTAAGGGGTTTCCTGCAGGTTCTTCCTGCAGCTCTGGAAAGTTCTGCTCTTACTGCCCTGTCCAGGGGCTCTGACCCCCAAGGTGTTTTACCCCAGGAGAGCCCATGGAAGATACCAAGACTCCCCATCACCAGAGGCTCTCCCATCCTTGCAGGGAATTGCTGCCTGTCAAACTGGAGTGGCCAAGCCAAGGGCCATGTTTGTAGATGCTGCTCAGCACTGGGCAGGATGGGAGCCATCCTTCCAACCTATTTAGATGAGATATTAGGAAGACATTCTTTGCTGGGAGGGTGGTGGGACACTGGCTCAGGTTGCACAGAGGAACTGTTGCTGCCCCTTCCTGGAAGTTTTCAAGGACAGGTTGGATGGGGCTTAGAGCAACCTGGTCTAGTGGGAGGTGCCCCTGCCCATGCAGGGAGGTTGGAACTAGATGATCTTTAAGCTTCCTTCCAAACCAAACCATTTGATGATTGGTTTGACCTCCTGACCCAGACTTCCCACCAGCATCCCAGTGCCAGGGGGTCCTGCCTAATCCTACCCATGCCCAGATGGCTGCTCAGTCACCTCCTCTCCCCCCCTGTCCCCTCTCTGCCTGCAGGGCCGCAGGGGTTTGGGCTCCATTTTTGTCTGGGCATCAGGCAACGGCGGCAGAGAGGGCGACTACTGCTCCTGTGATGGCTACACCAACAGCATCTACACCATCTCCATCAGCAGCACCACTGAGAATGGCTACAAGCCCTGGTACCTGGAGGAATGTGCCTCCACCCTTGCCACCACCTACAGCAGTGGGGCTTTTTATGAGCGGAAAATAGTAAGTTTCACCCCAGTATCATGGGTTTTTTTTTAATGGTGGGGCCAAAATTGCTCCTTTCCTTGGGGAAGAGCTCAGGGATGTGGCATTTTCCCTGGTAAATGGGTGAAAGGGGTTGGAGGTTTGCAAGTATTACCTGTCCCCCAAAGTGTTGGCTTGCTGTCCCTTGCTTAAAAGGAAAAAAATGGAATTTTGAGGATTTTTAGCCTGAAAGAGAAAAAACCGTAAGGATGGAGGAGTCTGGCAAGGATGTGGCAACTCTAAATGGGGAGCAGAGACTTTTTGGAGTCAGGAACAGCCTGAAAGCATGTAAAGGAGGGGACCAGATTGGTTTTCCCTGCAGCCCAGGTTTGATTTGCCCTGTCCCAACAGCTGCTGTGGTCTCATCCCAGCAAGGCCTTCCATTGCATCACCCGTTACCTTTATCCCTGTGCATCATCCAAATGTAAAACATCCCCTACCAGCACGATGCCTTACCTGAGCTGGGAGAGAGTTTTTGACCCAAATTAGGGTGGTTATTTTTGGTCAAAGAAGTGTGTTTTTTACAAGTCATTTGTTAATTTGTTTGTTTTTAATTCAGGAATGATTTGTTTGGCCCCTTGACGTTTAATTTCCAGAATCCAAGTGCCTTGTTGGGGCTGTTTGCACAGCACTGAGGAGCACTTGCATGGCTGAGGTCAGCACCAGCCTAGGGCTGCTGGAGCATCTCTGGGCAAAACAGCAACTTCCAAGGGCACCTCGGGGAGAAACTGTGTGACATGTCCCTGCTCCTCTCCAAAAATCACCAGATTGACTCAAAACCCAGGAGACTTTTCAAACTGTAACCAAGGAGCATCTCTTTGCCCACCTGCTCTCTCCAAGCTTTTGGTACCCAAACATTGTGCTCTGCCCTGAAATGACAAAGCTGGAAATGGTTGATTTTATTATTTTTTTTTTTTTTTCCCCTTTTTCCTCCATGCAAATTAATATTCTTGCCTGACACCAGGAGCTGGAGCTTTTTAAGGAAGGAGTATAACATGGCACAGCTCAACATGCACCCATAATCATGCCAGCCCTGCCCTTCTCACACCGCTCCATCCAGAGCTTTTCCTCCAGTTGCCCCACAGCAAAATTGACTGGTTTTGGGGTTTCCCCCCCCCTTTCAAATAGTTTTTACACCTCTGAGCAAAGGGAAATGTAAGCAGGGGTGTTTTCTCATGTGCCAAATGTGTCTGCAGGTCACCACCGACCTCCGGCACCGCTGCACCGACAGCCACACCGGCACCTCCGTGTCCGCCCCCATGGTGGCCGGCATCATCGCCTTGGCTTTGGAGGCAAAGTAAGTGTAACCTCACTTGGGGGGGGATGTTTCCAAATTTATTAGCTCCAAGCATAGCAGAAAGAAAAAAAAATAAAAGCTGTTGTTTTTTTTTTTCCCTCTGGAGCAACTCAAAACGGGGCAAAGTTATTCTAAATTGCTCCTTTTTTGGCGAGGTTTGATATGGTGGTGTTGTTTTGCATGTAATCTCCCTGCAGGTGTTTTATTGAGCTAATTCTTCACTTGTTGCCATGTGTTGAAAAGTTGGGGTTGATGAGATAAGTCAGGCTTTTCATTTGGTGCATTGAGAGTGCTGACAGCCAGCTCCAACAGGAGTTTTTATAAATACTTCCTGGAGGAAAAAAAAAAAAAAAAGTCAGAAAACATCATGGAAAATGGAAAACGTCTGTAGAAGTGATGGTTTTCAGAGAGTGTTTCATTTCTGGGGGAAAAAGGGCTACTTTTGCATTATGTTAAAATCCCACATGGTGTGACCTGCAGTGACATGCTCCCCAGTTCAAACAAGCTGTTCTTTGCCTCTTGTCCCCATCCTGGTGCCATCCTGATCCCATTGTGGTTCCCCGGCCACAAGAAGCCCCAGACTGGGTCCAAGCTCACCCCTTGGGTATCCCCGTGTTGCTCCATGGAATGTCTTCTCATGAGCTCCCTGCTGTTATTTTTATGGGGTGGAAGTAAAAATCAGGTGGGAATAAGCCACAGGACAGCACTGCTCTTGTGTCTGGGGATGCTGATTCCAGAGTGTGGGCTCCATTCCCTCTCCTCCAGTTTAATCCCAGCATCCAGGTCAGGTCAGCCTGTTTCCAGAGATGCTGTTTTCATTACAAAAAAGCTTTAGATGTAATTTTGAGTTGTTAAGCTGAGACATAAAATGCAACATTACCAGAGCCTGGTGCTCAGGAACTCCATTACAACGAGAAGGAATAAATTGAATTTCTTCTCTTAACTGTTGCTCGAGAGCAATATAAATCCCAGCTCAAGATGTTGAAGAACCAACTGTAAGAAAAGTGTGGAAAATTCTTCAGCAATATCCCTGGGCTGGGGTCTTGGGGGCAGCCCAAGAGCATGTGGTGCTCAGTGTCCAGCAGCCTGAACACACAAACCTCACATAAATCCAGCCGGGAGGGGTTGGAAACACTTTGGGTCTCATTTTTTTTTCAGTTAAATGAGCAACCCAGGGTTTTTCTCAGCTGTTTTTTTCCCCCCCCATCATTCCTACAAAGGAAAGGTTTGCTGGTGCCCTGCCTCAGGGTGTGCTTCACTCCCCATCTCCTACAACAAGATGAGGAAAACCTTCCTGATTTGCTTCAGTTATACCCCACAGCATCAGAGCTCAATACCCTGGGCCAGGAATAAATCCTGCAACACCCATGGGCACGTGGCATCCCTCCCTGGGGCACCACCCTCTGCTGTTGGCCAAGTGATGGCCAACCTCCAGGCAGGACATCAGCGTTTAAGTCTTCAATCCATGCTCTTTTGGAGCAGGAAAGAGGGTTTTTTTGGAGTTTTTTAACCCAATGGGAGTAGCTGCTGTTGCTGCTGGGAAGACTGGGAGCAGCAGAGCTGTCCCATGAGCCACATGTTGTTGCAGCCCCCTGCTCACCTGGAGGGATGTCCAGCATCTGCTGGTCAGAACCTCGAGGCCAGTGCACTTGCGAGCGTCGGACTGGAAGACCAACGGCGCGGGACATAAAGGTGAGGGGCAGAGGGGGCATGAGGGAAATGGCCACAAGGGGAAATTAAAGATCATGGGAGTGTTTGCCCTGGATGGCTCTTCTCAGCTGCCTTGGGGCCTCCTACCATTGGGCTGTTAAGTGGAGGGAGAAGAGGGCAATAATGCTTGGGATGAGGTGCTTGGAAGCCTTGCTTTGTGGAAGCTCTCCTGAGCTGCAGCATTGTCCTCTTCTTTCAGTGGGTTGCTCTCAACAATGGGTGTTCCACACTGCCAATGTGGATTTGGGGTGGAACTTGGTCAGGATGATGAGCTCCATGTGTTGAAGCACCTTGTATCCAACAGGATCAACTCCACGCTTTCCCTGATGCTCCACCAAGCTCTGAGGAGGAGCTGCTTGGAAGGCAGTGGGTTTCTGAGTCTTCTTTCTTTCCAGTTAGCCATCTATATGGCTTTGGTCTGGTGGATGCAGATGCTATTGTGGTGGAAGCCAAGAAGTGGAAGTCAGTCCCTCCCCAGCACGTCTGCGTGGGAAGCCTGGACAGGGTGCCCAAGTGAGTGCTGTGGGGTGGGAGGTCTCTCCCAGGGAGACCACTTGAAAGGAGCTTTGGTGGACCTGGCTCTTGAGATGCAAAGGTTCAGCTGCTGTCCCTGCATTTGGAAGGGAAAATGAAGACATAGGGTTGCTGGTACAAGCTCATGTGCAGGCAAGGTGATGTTCATGGATTTTACATTCAAGAGTGTCCCACATTATCACCCCAAGGTGTGTTTATTAACCCAGAAATGCCCACCTGGGGTCTGTGCCTCTGACTTGGCTCAGTGAAGGTTCCACAAGGGCTCTCCATGACCAGATTTGATGGTGGCTGATTTATTTTTGCCCTTTCTGTGCTTTTGCTTCCCAAGTGTGTGATCAGCAGGGAATTTTTCAGGGCTGATGGTGAGAGACCAAAACCAGCTTGTCCACTGGGTCCTAGATGTGTTGGGCTCTCCTCCCTCTTCCACTAAACACTCATCTTGATGGAAGACACCAAAAACTGATGATTTATTGCAAGTGCTCCCAAATTTCCAGTGCCTGGGAGTTGCTTTAAATTTGGCTTCAGGTTCAAACCAGCTGAAGTCTCATCCTTGGTAGGTCTGTCTGCACTAGGTATAGTGCCTGGGAGTTGCTTTGAATTTGGCTTCAGGTTCAAACCAGCTGAAGTTCACCTCATCCTTGGTAGGTCTGTCTGCACTAGGTAGGCTGAGTGATCTGCCCAAATGGACCCTTCTGGTGTGCCACTGCCTGGCTGTAGAGCAAATTGAGCTGTTCATTGGAGAAGCAATTCCTCTGGAAAGACTCGGCGTATGCAAAGCAGGAGTGAATTTGGAGCCAAGTGTGTTCATGAAACTGTTTATCTGATACAGACACTAATTACAACCCAAAGAGGAGCGTTGTGCTGATAATTATAAGACAGCAGCGTCCTTGCAGCCCATAAGGCACAGATCTTAGAGGCAGTTCAAACCCATCTCATTCCCATCAAGCCAAGTCAGCAAATTCCTGAGCTAGGACACCGTGTTGCAATGGAGGGATGAGATCATTTTTGCCATGAAGCAGCAGGAGACCTGATTCAAATATAACTGGGTGTCCAGGCTGCTGGGTCCCAAGGAGCACTGCTGTCCCCAACACAACGCTCTGCCCGTCCCCGGCAGGTACATCCGCGCGGACCACGTGCTGCGCGCCAGCACCCTCAGCAGCGCCTGCGCCGAGCAGCGTGACCAGCACGTGCTGTACCTGGAGCACGTGGTGGTGCGGCTCAGCATCTCGCACCCGCGCCGGGGAGACCTCCAGATCAGCCTCATCTCTCCAGCAGGGACCAGGTCGCAGCTCCTTGGCAGGAGGTAGGAGTGGATGGAGGATGTGCTTTTGCTGGGCAGCAGCGTCATTTAGGGGTTTGCTGCAGATTTGCTTGGTTTCTTTTTGGGGGATGGTGTGGTCATGCTGATGGTGATCAGAGGGCTGGAGCATCTCTGCTATGGAGACAGGCTGGGACAGTTGGGGTTGTCAGCCTGGAAAAGGAAAGGGAGGCCTTACATTGCCTTTCAGTGCTGTGGCTGCCCCATCCTTGGAAGTGTTCAAGGCCAGATTGGATGGGGCTCTGAGCAACCTGGTCTAGTGGGAGGTGTCCTTGCCCACATAGGGATGGTCTAGATGGTCTTTAAGGTCCTGTCCAACCCAATCCATTCTATGATTCTATGCTTGGGTCTTCACTACAGGAAGGTGGACACATGCAAAGGTCCCTAAAATCCTTAATTACCCATCTACCTTTTCTGATTTATAAGACATTCAAAGTCACACCTCTTGGTGCATGGCATTACTGTTGCAGAGTGTTTGACCATTCCAACGAGGGCTTCAAGGGCTGGGAGTTCATGACTGTCCACTGCTGGGGGGAGCGGGCAGCAGGGGAGTGGACCCTGGAGATCCTCGACACGCCGTCCCACGTGCGCAACCCCACCGTGCAGGGTAAGGGTCCCCTGTCCCCCTCCTCCCCAAAGCTCTTTGCAGGCTGCTTCACTTGGCCATAACTTTTGCTGTGAGTTCTATGGTCTTCAGCAAAACTGTATTGCCCATTTTTAAAATTATTATTTTTTTCAAAAAATGGGCCTAAAACTCAAGCTCTAAGTGCAGGAGGCTCCAGGCCTGCTGAGCTGGGAGTGGGTTTTCTCCCACAAGCAAACTTGCTGCAACCCAGAGCCAGGTTTCCAAAATTAAACCATAACGAGTCAAAACGAGGAAACCCGAGAGCTGTAATTGTTGTTTGTTTGTTTTGCTTCACTGCTGGGACATCTGGTGTGTGGGCTGGTTGTGCAACTGGTGCAAGGGGACGATGCCCCTCAGGCTGCAGACGGACAGACATCCTGTCCTCTCTGGGCTGCCACTGTGCTGGCAGGGGGTGGCCGGGCTCAGCCTGGCCCTCTGCATGTCCCCAGTCCTGCCATGTCCCCTCTCCCAGGCTTGGCCCGCTTGCTCCCTGACCCCTTCCTGGCAAAAGGAGCCAGGCTGGCAGCATCTGGTCCCCCTGGGAAGGGGCAGACGCCTCACTGGCTGGTGGCAACGGGGCTTGAAGCATCCTGCCTGGGGCTGGCGTGTGCTGCGGGGGTGTCAGAATCCACCCCATCATTGATAGGAGGCCAGGAGCATATTAGAAAACTCTCCCACGCGACTTTCTGGCTGGAGGTGCATGTGGGGGGTTGGTTGTGCAGAAAGTGTTTCTGTTTGCTGCCCTCACCCAAAAGCTTTTGAACTGGGAGAGAGCAGCAGCGAAGCGCCCACGGGGCTGTTTTTCCCCCAGTGTTTATGGTTTGCAGTGGGTGTTTCTGAGCCCCTCGTGGGCATCGGGGCTTGGCCCGAGCTGGCTTCACAAAATGAAATTAAAATGAGCCTGTTGGGTCCCCTCCTGAAAGAGTCTACACTGTGGGTTTGAAGCAGAGAGGGCAAAGCAAGAGGAAAAAGAGGGAAGTTGCTCCCAGCCCACAGCAGAAATGGGTAATAAATGTTAATTTAAGACCATTAATTTCAACGAATTAAATTGGTTAATTTAATACAAATTAAATACTGTGGGTGTCCTGTTGCTGGCACTGCCCCATGACCAGCTCCAGCCCTGCAGAGCCTGGGACATTTGAGATTCAAAGCCATTTTCATTCTGTCAGCAGAGACGTGCGGCTGAGCTTTTCCCTGGCTGATGCCACCCAAGTTCACCCCTTTGCAGGCTCTGCTCTGTTTCACTGTGGGTGGGTCCTCTGAACCCTTTGGGAGAGCCAGGGGATTTGGGTGTTGGAAATTTTAAGCCCTTCCTGGAAATGCAGGGATTAGTAGTGAAAGCTGAGTGGGCTGCAGGAGTCAAGTGGCTCCCATTGATGGGGGATTGAAAGAGAACGAGTGTGGGAAAGAAGCAGCAGTAGTTTTTGGACCCCTTCCCCAAAGCAGTGTGGGTTGGGTAGGAGCCTGTATGGGTATAAGCCCACAGGTGCAGTGCAGGCTCTGGTGGTCCCTGTGGTGTTTTGGGGAAATACTGAGCTCTGACCTCAGACAGGTCGGGACAGCGGGTGGCTGGAGAAACAGCAGCAAGAAATAATCTGGTGTGTGTCAGGCAGCTTTTATCAGATATAAGTAATCCTCCATTATGAGGCTTTTAAAGTTACTGGTTCCTCTGTACATTGGATGTGAAGGGTACAGTCGTGCTGCAGTTCATCAGATGAGTTAGAGCATAAAAAAACCCTTGTAGGTGCATTTGTGCAGGCTAGGAGCTCAGGGGCTCTTGAACATTTCAGGGAGTTCATTGTTTGCTTCTGTGTTGTCATGCAAGTGGTGAAGCCCTAATGGTCTGGTCCATCCTGCTCCTGCTGCCCCAGAGCCAGGGCTGTGCTGTGGGGTCCCCCAGGGAGGAGCAGGATGGGTGACACTGTGGTCACTCCACAGGGAAGCTGAAGGAGTGGAGCCTCCTCTTCTACGGGACAGCTGAGCACCCCTACAGCACTCCAGGCAGCCCCCAGTCCCGCGGGAAGGTGGTGGAGGTGCCAGCATCAGAGATGGAGCCATCGAGAGCTGCTTTCCTGCAGAGCCAGGTGGAGGTGGCAGAGGAAGAGGAGGAGTACACAGGTAAGCACTGGCCAAGTCACCACGTTGTTTCCCCCCGAAGCATCCAGGAAAATGCAAACCAGGGGAGCCACGAGGCCTGATCCTGCCCGGGGCCAAGGCAGGCTGGGAGGAGTGGTGCCTGTGGCCGGCGTGGGGCAGCAG